TCATCTTCATCAGCACTGTCATCGAACTAACGTGTCACCGCTATTATGAGTACTTGCATGAGGTCATTTAGCCTCACAGCAACCCTAGGAGAGACTGTCAGCCCCACTTTTCATGGGGAAAAAAAAGAAAAGCCTTGAGTTCAGATAGGGTCAATCATCTTCTTGTGGCCACACTACCAGCAGGCCCCAGGGCGTGGGCTTCCACATCCTCTCACCAACACAACCATCTTTCCCCCTAGCCCTCAGCTGAGGTATGTGTCCACTATGTGTCTCCTCCTACAAGAAGCCTGCATTGGTTGAACAGATGCTTCAGCATCATTTCCAGGCTCTTGGGCTCTCAAGACCACCTAGGGTCACGTGCTGGTTCAGTACCCTAGCCCTGCCTCTAGTCCCAATCTACTCTGTACCCTTACAGTGTGTCTGTCGCCACAGACAAGTCTGTCCTGGCCCTAAGGACTACAACCTCCAACAGAGGTGTCAGTCACCTTTGAGTGAACTGCCCAGGTGAATAGTAATGGATTTTATTGTTCCAGTCGATGACAAGGGGCATTTACCAGGTAGAAAGCAATCGTGAGTCAGAGGGAAATAAACCTGAACCGTGTGCAGGTATTTCCAACGGCTCGCTGCAAGGGCCTGGGTGTCTGAATCTTCATGAGCAACGAAAGCACATGCCTGTCTCCAATGTGCCTGGCGACAGTCTTGGCACATCAAAACAGCTTCGTCAAGTTTTTGCTGTATTCCTCAAAAGGCTAATCTTTCTCTCCCATCCCTTCTCAGCCTTATCTCAAGACACTATTTCTTATGGAAAATACAGGTGACAATCAGTGCATTTCAAAAGCTCTAGTGGGTTAAGCTGCTTCCTGCTTCACCAGCATCTCATACAGACACTGGTTCAAGTTCTGATCCAGCTCCCTGCTAATGGACCTGAGAAAGCAGTGGATGATGGCCCAAGTGCTTGGGTCCCTGCACTCATGTGGGAGACCAGGAAGAAATTCTTCTGACTTTTGCCTGGTCCTTTTGGGGGAATTATCCAAGGAATGGAAGACCCCTCTGTCTCTCCCCACCTTTGTAACTCTGCCTCTCAAATAAGTAAAATAAATCTCTTTTTTTAAGGCTCTAATAGTGCCGAGAGTGTAGTAGCATATTTTCATTGCCCAGCTGTTTGCAGAAGCTGCTGTTGTTTGCAGTCTGCAGGTTTACATAGCTGGCTGCCCTTTTCCAAGCCGACAGCTGTTCCCAGATCTTCCAGCTTTTGACAGAGCCATGCCTGTTTGCAGAGTCTCAGGTTGATCATTGTCTTGGAATTTTAAATTTTTACATTGTAATTGTTGGGAAATATGCAGTTGTTTGCAGAGCTAGCAGCTGTTCACATCACCTACAGGTATTTGTAGAGACTGAGAATCGCCGTGCTTTTAGGCTGTTTGCAGATGCTGGAGTGCACAGGACTTGTTGGAGCCGATCACTATGCCAGGTGAAGGCGTGGCTTCCTACTGGCCTTTTCTCCCTGAGCTGACAAAGAGCATGTCTTATTTAAGCACAGAGTGTGTGTTCAGGGTAGTTCCCAGAGATCAGAGGGATACAGAAGTACAAAGAAAGGGCCCAGCCCTGCAAGCAGTTTTCCATGCATTTGGAAAATAACATTGGCACATACACTGCCCATCCTGACAACTACCCAGAGAAGTGTCCAGCACTTCAGCAAGTTCAGCCCAGCTGGGTTCCTGCAGGGCCTGTCCGCTACATCCGGAGTAGAGCTCCATGGAGACACTGCAGCCTATGCTCACCCTGTGCCCACTGCACCCCGGCCCCTGAGTCACCCCAGATTACACAACTACCTCTACTCTTCCCTTTTTCTCAGGCTATGAGTCTCACTAGCTCTCAAGGAGGAAAAGGAATGCTAAAAACAACTTGGCAACAAGCTTGCCACTGGGGTGATGCCGTGAAAGTGATAAGTCACCGCATCCAAAGCACATGCCCTATTGGTGACACTGTGAGGGCACAGCGGCCGCCCACAGGCAGGGATGAACAGGGGCCATGGTCACTGTGGCTGTCCAAGAGGCAGGCTGGCTGCAGCTGTCATCTGACCTAATCTCTGCTCACCAAAACCGCTTTACCCAGGGACTCAAATACCCATTTTGGAGCAAGCATGCTTGTGCTATGAGAAACAATTCTCACCTAAGTGTGAGCTGGAGGGACGAATCCAAGCATGCTCTGCTTCCAGCTCTGTCTACCCTTTTTTTTTTTAAAGATTTATTATTATTATTATTATTTGTCTTTGTTTTTTTTTTAAAGATTTATTTATTTATTGGAAAGTCAGATATACAGAGAGGAGGAGAGACAGAGAGGAAGATCTTCCATCCGATGATTCACTCCCCAAGTGAGCACAACAGCCGATGCTATGCCGATCCGAAGCCAGGAGCCAGGAACTTCTTCCGGGTCTCCCACACTGGTGCAGGGTCCTAAGGCTTTGGGCCGTCCTCGACTGCTTTCCCAGGCCACAAGCAGGGAGCTGGATGGGAAGTGGAGCTGCCGGGATTAGAACCGGCGCCCATATGGGATCCTGGCGCGTTTAAGGTGAGGACTTTAGCTGCTAGGCCACGCCACCGGGCCCAATTATTATTATTTGGAAAGACAGGTTTACAGACAGAAGGAGATACAGAGAGATTTTCCATCGTTGGTTCACTCCCCAAGTGGCCACATGTCTGGAATTGATCCCAAACCAGGATCTGGCTCTCCCAAGTAGGTGCAGGGGCCAAGGGTTTGGGTCATCCTCGATTGCTTTCCCAGGCCACAAACAAGGACCTGGATGGGAAGCTGAGCAGTAGGGACACGAACCAGTGCCCCAACAGGATCTCAGGTAATGCAAGGTGAGGATTTAGCCACTGAGCTGGCCCCCATCTGCCTCTTGATGTGAGCCTCTCTGTCTTCTCTGGCTTCAGCTTGGACTCTGACTCAGGACATAGAGTTGACACCTGGTCCAGTTTTCGCCCTTTGTGGTCTCACCCTTGAGAATGATTTGCACCTTTGTCTCCATCCATCTTCCACAGAAAGCAGCAAAACACAGGTGCCAACACCTGCTCCTGTGCTGGTGGACTCTGGAGGAGCCAACTGCCACCTGTCTTTTCAGACTTCTGAATTCCTTCTGGAATGCCTCCTGCCCCCAGGTATACCAAGAGCACCTTACACTTAAAAACCCCCAAGCTAGGCGCATTGCCACTGCCTCCTGCTGTGCTCCCCCTGCCTTCTTCCCAGCTTCATAGCTTCTTTGGTTGGGTACAATGAGGCCTTTTTCCCAGGCTCCCACAAGTCCTAACTCCGAAATCGCCCTGACACCCCCACTGTTTGCCAGCAGTGAAGTGCCCTCCTGGCATCTGCAGTGCAATGCAGCAGTCTCCATCTTGGGTGCTCCCATCTCCCACCCAGGTGCCTGAATGGCCATCAAGTCAACAAATATTTAAGGAGCATCCAGAATGCACCTCTCCCTAGGGTCACCACAGAAACTGGGACCTACAGAAGTCATGCTTCAAGGAGCCAGTCTGGTCTTACAGTACCTGCCTGTGCTTAATTTTGTTTTTGGTTTGTTTTTAGTATTTATCACACATTGCTTACCACACAAGCAATGGGTACTCACGGACAAAATGCTAGAAAACACACAGAAATATAACCAAGGGAACGAAAATCATTCTTCTCCCTACCATTCTTCTTCCCACCAAAGTCGTGACCCCTTTAGGAAAAAACATCTTTCCAGATATTTTTCTTTCTCTTATTTCAATATTTGAACAATTCTGATGTCCCTCTTGGTTCTAATGTGTTTGTTCATTTGTTAAATTCTTTTCTTTGCTTTTTATTTTTTATGTGAAAAAAATTTATATGTATTCATGGTAGATAATGTGCTATTTTGAAATATGTGTAGTATCCAGTGTGGACCAGCCAAATCAAGCTCACTAATAAATGCATTATCTCATGCACTTACCATTTATTTGTGGAGAGACACCAAAAAAAAAAAAACCAAAATCTTCTCTCAGCAATTTCTAAATACAAAGGAACTTCAGAAAGTTCATGAAAGGGGGGGAATAAAAGACAAATCTACTCGGGTACAAAATCATTTTGAATTTGTGCATGGTTTATCTGTATGTGCGTGTGTAATACACATTTTCCATGAAGTCTTTAAAGACCTCTTCTATGCAAAGATTTCTTTTTTTTTTTTTTTTTGGCACTAAAATAAAGTTATTTTAACTCTACTTTTCCACAACTCTTTTGAAGTATCCTCACATATAATACACTGTTATTTGCCATAGTCAGCAAATAAAGGGGCTGGCATTGTGGCAGAGTGGGTTCGGTGAGTATAAGTTTGACGAGTGTTAGTTCGAGTCCCTACTGTCCTATTTTTATTCCCACTCCTTGCTAATGCACCTGAGAAAGCAGCACAAGAGGAACCAAATGCACGGCTCCCTGCACAACACCCACATGGGGAAGCCAGGTGGAGTTTTAGGCTGCTGGTTTCAGTCTGGCCCAGCCCTGGCTGTTGTGGATACTTGGAGAGTGAGCCAGATCTCTTTCTCTCTCTCTCTCTCTCTCTCTCTCTCTCTCTCTCTCATCACTCTCTCTCTCTTCCCCTCTCTCTGTTAGGTTCCTCCTCTCCTTCCTTTTCTCTTGCTATAACTCTGCCTTTCAAAAATATATATATTTTTAAGTACATATATAGTCAGTAAATCATTATTGAGTTCCAACAATGCCAGGGCCTGGACTAGAGGCTAGGAATCCAGAGACGAACCATCTAATGCAGGAGAGAGATCCCAAGCAAATCAGACTGCTCTCTGATCCGCCCTTGTGACAAATTCCTCATGAAGCTAAGGTGGAGAGGCACAGGCTTCCTAGCACAGAGTCCGGGATGGAGAGAAGTTCCTAAGGGCTGCTCCACCAAGGAGTAGGGTTGCCAAGACAGGGCGGGTGTTTGGAGAGATAGAAATGGAATTCGAGAAGCAGAGCTGACTCACGTATTCGCTGTGGTCGGCACACGTCCAGTCTACTGTGCCAGAAAGAGCTCGTGAAAATGGTTTTATTTCGTTTGCTGTATAGGAGTGAAGTAGTCGTTTTTCCATCCGATGATTGTTTACAGCTTTGTTTATGTTTCCGTGGAATCAGAAGCTGCTTCCTTTTTTTACTTGTTGGACTCCTTATTTACTGGAGCATTAAGTCCTTGACTGTAAGGTAAATCAAAGATATATTATCTCAAAAGTGCAGGAGAAGGGGGGGAAGAAAGAGAGGGAGGGAGGGTGAGAAAGAGGAGAAGGGGAGTGAGGGAGGAAAAGAGGAAATAGCATATTCTTAGAATTGTGTCTATGAACCAAATTGAGCAGCTGAAACCAGAGAAAAATAAAACATTTTAAAAGAAAATGTTGGAAATTATTTTAAAATGCAAAGGAAAAAAATAAACTTTAGGTTGAAGAAGAAGCTTTCATATATAATATACATGCTATGTATATTATATAATATAATGTGTATGATATATAATTCTGGAGGAAGGTCTCCTCGAAGGCAAGCTCATCTAGGGTAATGAAAGTTCTGTGGTCCTGGCGTGAAGTCCCGCAGAAGTGAAGCAGAGAGGAGGGACCAAGGAGACAGAAACAGATGTGAGCAGAAAGACGGCTGAACTTGGAAGCCATCGTATAAATGTGTTCCCTCCTCCTATAAGCACTGGGGGGAAAAAGTTAACAAGCAGTTTATTTAATCTCTTAAAAATGTTATTTTTAAAACCACAATAACATATTCCACTTTAAAATTACTAACATCTGGAAATGAAGAGTGGTTATGGTCATACACCCTTAGGAATGATTCAAAGGCCAAATTTATATTATGTATGTCTTAACCACAAATGAAACCATAAAAGCACCAGTTAACTAAGTGGGGGAAAATTAGCCAAAAAAAAAAAAAGTTAACAATTTTTATTTATTTATTTGAAAGGCAAGTTACAGAGAAGGGGACTGAGAGAGACTCACTGGCTCACTCCCCAAGTGGCCTCAATGGTTGGGACTGGGCCAGAAGGAAGTCAGGAGCACAAACTCCATCCATGTCTCCCATGCGTTTTTAGGGGACCAAGTACCGGGGCCATCTTCTGCTGCCTTCCTAGGCATATCAGCAGACAGCTGAATCAGAAGTGGAGTAGGTGGAATTCAAACCAGCATCTATAGGGATGCTGGCAGAGGCTTAAACTACACTGCCGCAGCACAGATCCCCTAACATTTTTAATATCATCAATTCTGTGTTACATCTTGATTTGTCTCATAAATGCTACAAGTGCTAAACTGTTTTGTTTTTGTTTCTGCTGTTGGATTGAAGCAAGAGTCAGGTAAGGGCCATAAGGTAAGTGATGGCTGTCTTTCAAATGCTTCATCATCGATAGGTTCCAGAAGTCTCCTTCAGGCGCCTTCAGCGCTTCCGTTTGGAGACACGTGAGGTCTGCCTTGTCTCTCCTCTGGGGGTGTTGATGGCCTCTGGTGGTCACTGTCTGAACAGTAGTCCATCATGAGTTGGTTGGTTTCCTGACAGCAGGTAGAGCAGGAAGAGCAGCATACTAACTGTGTCTTCCTGGAGGATGGGTCATGGGTCATCCTGGACCCCTGTCTTTGTAGCAGCTCCAAGTGCTGGTATTTCTCTATCCTCAGTGAGGAACTGCTTCTCCATGGACAGCTCCACTTAGCAAAGAACATGATCTGTTTGGGCTGTCCTGGGTGCCCTTGCTAGGCTCCAGCAAGTGAAAGCCTGGCTCTGGGAGTCCCAGGACCAATAGGGGATAAGGCCACTCATCTCCTTGAGCCTCATGTGAGAAATGGGATAATGACAAAGGTCTCCGTTTGGGAGCTGAAATTCAAAAATGCTATAAAGTGATGAGTTAGGAGTCAGTGTTGTAGCAGGGTAGGTCAAACTGCTACCTGTGAGCTGTACTTTCTCTACAGGTGCAGGTTCAAGTCCCAGGTGCTCTGCTTTCCAAGCCAGCTCCCTGATAATAACCTGGGAAAAGCAGCAAATAATTGCCCAAGTGTTTGGGCCCCTGCCGCCCTATGTGGGAGACCTGGCTGAAGCTTCTGGCTCCTAACTTCAGCCTGGCACAGGGCTGGTTGTTGCAGCTATCTAGGGAGTAAACCAGCTCTTGTCTCTCCCTCTTTCCCCATAGCTCTTTAGATAGATAGAATGCTGAGTCAAGGCACAGCTCAGGAGAAGCACATGGTCACAGGAACTCCTACCACGGTACTGCTTCCACTTGGTCCTTCCATGCCCTGAAAATAAGGTGGATAGTGAGCGTCCACCGTCAGGTCCTATAGATCAGGCCAGCATGGGTCTTGCTTTGAGGATAAGAAGGGGCTAGGCTGGTTTGAGGACGGGGGTGCTCATGACATGAAATGGATGCACTGTGTGCTGTGAGACCCCTGAGAACAGGGGTCCCTAGTAGAGCTCCACACCCGTGGTGCCTTGTGAACTGCCATACCCGAACAGCCCAGAATACGCATTCAAGGCTCCTGAGGCCAAAGTCCTGCGTGTGCTCAAACTTTGCTCATTGCACGGTTGCTTCTTGGCTGTGGGCTCAGGAGGCAGATATTCCAGGAATCTCGCTCCCTCCTTCCTCTTGGCATCCTTCTCCTCCTCCCCCACCCTTCCCTGCCCCCCTCCCACCCAAGCCTAGGGCCCCTTGCCCATTGGGTGGACAAGTGCCTAGTTGTCTCTAAGATCTTTATGTCCCTCAAAAAGTCATGCTAGAGCCAGAGGGGGCTGTGCTGGGTGTTCAACCATGGGCTTAAACGAGGCCTACTGTGGGTGCAGCCAGAGGGGTGAGGGAGTGAGGACAGGCAGGCTGGGTGTGAGCAAGGGGTTCTGGCAGATTTCTATTGGGACCAAACTGCAGACGGCAGTAGCTTCTGCAAGCAGCAGCACAGACTGACAGAGCTCTGCGAGTAGGGCCAAGGCCCCACGTGGCAAAGCCGTCACTCCCTGACATCGCTGAGTCATCCCTGCATTTCACTACCACCGCCCTGGACTCCCTCCTGGCACCCTTCATCTCACCCCTGGATGGTGGCCACTTCCTTCCCAAAGGACGCAGCTGTCTGGGTTAGTGCTTATAAATGTACCACCAACTTACATTTACTTAAGCAAAAAAAAAAATATATATATATATATTGTTTATTTAAAATGCAGAATTACAGAGAGAGGAGAAACAGAAAGAGAACAAGATCTTCTACCAATGATTTACTCTTCAAGTGGCCACAGAAGCCAGAACAAGCCGATCCAAAGCTGGGACCCAGGAGCTTGCTCCAGGAGGTCTCCCATGTGGGTGCAGGGACCCAAAGACTAGGGTTGTTGCGTTCCCATGTGCATTAGCAGGGAGCTGGATTAGAAATGGAGCAGCCAGGACTCAAACCAGTGCCTACGTAGGATGCTGGCACCACAGATGATGGCTTTATCTGATATGCCACAGCTCCAGCCCTTTAAACTTACTTTCGTTGCATACACCCAACACCTGGCAGTCTGGGAAATCCCACAGATGTTTTCTACTATAATGTTTTTTAATACCTAAAGTAAAAAGCACCATAATAGCCAGCAAACCAATTATATAAAAATACCAGCATCAATATATTTCCTAAGAATAAAAAGTGCATATGGTAATACCAATACTTTTGAATGAACGCCATACCATAGAAGTTAGCACAAGAGTCAAACCACAGACATAACTTTGAAACAATATTTTGAGAAAAATAAAAGAAAAGCTGATATATCTGCCAGTGTCTCAGGGGCTGCTAAAGCCATGTAACCTGAGTCCTGCAGTTGCTACTGTGGGTAATGCTAAACTCCAGAAAATTAGTGCCAACCAAGATGGAACAAGTGTTTGCACCCAGGCTCCTGGGGTCTGAGTCATACTCACAGAATTCTGTCCCACTTGTCTCTTCCTATATTCCCAGCAGGCCTCATTCAGACACTACTTAATGCCTAGGACAGCCCCACCTGGCCCCAACCTGGCTATGGCTGAAAGACATACATTATCCAGAGGCAATTAGCCACTTGTCCAACCAAATGGGCAAAGGGCCTGAGGACTGGTTGAGAGGGAGTGATTACAAGTTTGATCTCCCCAGGCCCCAATCCAGCTCCCTGCTAATGGATTGGGAAAGCAGCAGACAATGGCCCAAGTCCTTAGGCCCCTGTAATCACATGGGAGACCCAGAAGAAATTCCTGGTACCTGCTTTGGATCAGCTCAGCTCCAGCTGTTGTGGCCACTTGAGGAGTGAACCAGTGGATGAGAGATCTCACTCCTTCTCTTTGTAATTCTGCCTTTCAAAATGGAATAACAATAATTTTTTTTTGAAGTCCCAGGTTAGAAGAAACTAAGAAGAAAAGGCGAAGGAGAGTGGGTCCTGGACAGGAGATCCAATAAAGGGGCTTTTCCACTCAGTGCAAGGGTCCCAGCTCTATCCAGAAGCATTGCCAAAGGCTGTCCTCTGAGCTGCTGAGTGCCAGTCCTGCTGGCACTAACAGGTTCACCCAGGCCTGGTGCTGCCACACAGCTGTTCAGGTGCCTAAGCTGGCTGTCAAGCGCAGACAGGCAAGGCAGTGACTGTTGGCAGAGGGAATGTCCTACGGAGAGCCCATGTGTCCTTGGAGATAGAGATAATGCTGCTGCCGGCTGGATGAGAACAAGTGGGCTCAACGGGCAATGATGGCATACACTGTGGATCACCATCCTGCCTGCCCTCTGCTGCTGTCAGCAGGTGGAAGGCCAGAGGGAGACCTGCGCCATCATCGCCTTCACCACAGGCAGGTGAACTTGGAAGACAAAGAAGCCCCCGCCCCCTAAGCTACCCCAAGCCATCAGAACCCACCACACTGTTGAATACCATGATATCTGGGGAGGGAACAGCCTAGATTAAAAATCTGTAGTCGGCCTTGTCAAGCTGGAAGAGGCAAAGGTTAGGGACCTCACCATGGAACTGGGTTAAACATACACTGCAGAGTGTTTGGTGAAAAAAAAAAAAATCTGGAGTATGTCCACAGTTGCATTTTTTTCTCTCCAGGGAAATAACCATAGATCAAAGCAGTAATTGAAACAAACAAGTAAAAGGCTGGGAATCACAGATGGAGAATGTTCATCTCCTTCCTGGGATTGCTAAGAATTCTTGGGGACAAGATGAGGTGGAAGGTAGAAGAATAGTTCTCAAAATGGTGCAATTTCAGGAACCAGTGATTGGAGAAGAAAGATTCAAGGCTAGGTGCCATAATTCACAGCCTGTGGTGTTGCTCTGAAAATGACCCAGGAGTGGGAGTAGCTTCAGCTGACCTCTGCAGGGAGGGAAGCAGGGCCTCTCTCTTGTTACGGAACTATTTTCCCTGGCATGCGGCCAAACAGTAATGACATTTTGATACGGACATGTTCCCTTTTTTGAAGAAAGTACCTCGAAACAGCAAAGGAGACATCTCTGAAATCTTGGAACAATTCAGTGCTTGAGCTCTCTCTTCACCTGGGACAAACTCCTCGGAAGCCTGTCCGGCCCTTGTGCCAGGGACAAGCAGCTCTGTTGGCAGGGGACGGGACTATGTGGCCGGCAGGCCTTTAGGAGACCCGCAAAGTCACTTGGTCTGGCCCTGCCGAGGCAACAGCAGGTGGGATTTGAAATTCAATAAGGTTCATTATAGAGTTGATAATTTGGTACAGCCTGTAAATGGTGTTATAAACATTGCAATTGCCCTTGGCAGAAAAAAGGTTCTCCTCCCCTGTGGGAATAACTGAAATCTGGCCAAGGTCAAGGCCCAGGCCATGCTTACCTAACTGAACTGTTGTCATTTAGCCATAGCTCTCTCCCTGTCAAGGTCCAGCTAATGACTGTAGTTTTACATTTCTTCAGTTGAATCTACAAGGTCTGCTTTTTACTATTTGCTTTGCGGTGGCAGATAGATAGCATAAAATGACTGACTGAGCTGTTTCCAAGTGTGCAATAGTGTTGTCTAGCTGCACATGATTGGGCTTCAATTATTCCTTTCCTTTCCAAATACTTATTTATGTGAAAGGCAGAGTTACAGAGAAGGAAAGACAGAAATCTTTCCAGAGAGCTGGGTTGCTCTGAAGCCAGGAGCTTCTTCCGGGTTTGTCATGTGTCATGTGGGTGCATGCAGGGACACAAGCACTCGGCCAATCTCCGCTGCTTTCCCAGGCATATTAGTAAGAAAATGGATCAGAAGTGCAGCTGCCAGCACGTGAACCAGCGCTCATCTGGGATGCGGACACTGCCAGCAGCAGCTTTCCACAAGGCACTACAGCTCCACCCACCGCCACCCCTCCCTGTTCTGAAGCTTTTCATCCTGTGCACCTGGCCCTCAACATCCCTTCCCCTCTTCCTCAGATTCCCAGAAATCACCATTTGCCCTACTTTCTGTCTCTGCATTTCACTTCCTCAGATCCTGCACAGACATGGAGCCATGTCATGTGTATCCTTTTGTGACTGGCTTATTTCACTCCAGATTTAACCTTATGGTAGCAGGTGTCAGCGCCTTCTTTTTGAAGGCTGAGAAATACTCCATAATATGTCTACACAATTTTCACGATTTTTGGAAAACTTCATGGCTCTGTGATTTTAAAACATTATTTACTCATTTTCATTTTATTTGAAAGGCCGAGCGATCTCCATACACTGGTTCACTCCCTAAATGCCTGGAGTGAAACAGTAGGTCAAAGTCAGCACAGAGATCTACATCTGGGTCTCCCCTGGGGGAGCCAGGGACCCAAGCACTTGGGCCATCAACTGCTGCCTCCCAGGGTGCTCATTAGCAGAAATGCTGGATTGGAAGTGATGCAGTCGAGGCTTGAATCAGCACTCAGATCTGGAATCCAGCGCAACCGGGTCTGCGTTTACCTGACCAAAAGGATCACTTCTTGACCCAAGTGAGGGGAGAAACAGGCAGCTGAGAAGCCTCCTGAACCAGCATGCCCTTGGGCAGTAGAGGTCAGTTGCTCTGCCAGTTTTCCCTGGTGGAAGTGAGGGGCGTCTAATGACCGGCAGTTCAACTACGCACACGCTGGCCCTGCGGAACAGGAAGCAGTTAGCAGCCATGACAAATATGCATAATAGTATGGAATGTGAGCAAATTATCAGAAGGGATTTGCATACCCATCCCACCCCTAGAACTTTCCCTTTTGCATCCCCAGAGTCTATGATGTCTCAACACTCACCCGTTTCAGTAGAGTTGATGCAAGGGCTCAGAGAGAAAAGGGCTGCAGCAAAGGCAGTTCCTCCAAGGCTGCTGAGAGGGCGTGGGGGAGGGGAGAGAAGGCAAAGAGAAATTCTTTCAACAGGGGAGGGGGACTAAGCAAGGGAGGGCAGCAGGAAGGAGGAGGAGCTAAAAAAAAAAGGAGGCGGGGAGAGGTAATGGGAAGGCGAGGGAAGAGATAACCCAAGAGAATGAAGACAGCAATTAAGAGAACAGGTGGAACAGGCACCGTGCTGCAGTAGGTTAAGCTGCCACTTAGCAAGTCCACGCGTCCAAGTGCTCCATCCGTGAAGGAGCTCCCTGCTGATGCATCCTCAGAGGCGCGGACAGCTCCAGAGCTGGGGATCCTGCCTCGCACGTGGGCGACCTGGATGAAGCTCCCAGCTCCCGACTGCTGCCCCAGCTGGTGTGAGCCTGTCGGGAATGAACCAATTGAAAAAAGAGGTTTTTTTCCCCTCTGGCTTTCAAATAAATAAAAATAAAAGAAAATTTTAGAGGACACAGGAAGTAGAGGCGCAGACAAGATGAAAGAAGAGAGAAGCCAAAAATGATAAACATGTCTAAAAAACTACTCATCTCTAACCATTCTGCAGTCTTTTTGTGAGGCAGTGAGAGCAAAATAGGAAGAGGCCCTCCTTTATTTTCTTAGGAAAAGAACACAGACCGGAGGTGGGAGTGGAATGGCAGTTTTCCACACAAAGGGAGAGCCCCTGGTCTCTCGGAGCCCCGCCATCCTCCACGCCGGCGGCAGAGGTCATGTACACACAGCGCACTGAGAGGACCAGGCGGTCGCTGGGGCTCTAGCAGGTGTGCAGGGGTTAAAAGGGAGGGTCGATGGTGGTGGGCTGGAGGGTGGTGGTGTCCAGAGAGGACCACCTCAAGGCCTTTCCCAGGGTGAACCCTGGAGGGGAGAGGCAGGCTTTCTGGGGTTTCCCAGCGTCCGGGGGCTCCTCCTCCTCCTCCAGGCCTGCGTGTGGCACCATAAAAGACACAAACATCCACCAATTCGGATCAACCCTGCAAACAGCACCGTCAGCCCTTCCACACCAGATACCACAGATAACCTCTTCTCCCCCAAGAAGGAACCGTCCTAACTCTTGCTGAGTTAACACCCACCAGCCCTCCTTCACGGCCATGAAGATGCACAACCTAGGGACTGCAGCCACAGGGTGGGGGGTGGGGAACACCTGTACCCACAGAGCCCAAGATTGGGCAAAAGGACTGTGGTCACCCAGCGCTTGAGTCCGTGCACCTCTCCAACTTCTGCTGCTGCTGCTGCTGCTGGTTAAACGTGTGCAGCCCCAAACCGCTGGCTGCACAGCCGCTCTGCTATGATGCATAGCAAGAGGAGTTCCAAAAAGACACTCAGCCACGGGTAGGGAGTTGAGAGAGAAGCTGGGCCCACTCCTGCACGCCTTGGCGGCACGGCGGGCGCATTCTGGAACGAAGCCCACCCCTCCCCCGCCTTCCCCTCCGGCTTTTCTGAGCCCCGGCGGGGGAGGGGCGGCACGCCCTGGTTAGTAGGCTCGGGAACGGGGGTCAAGGCGGTGTTTCCGGCGGTCACGAACTGTGTGTGTGCGTGCGCGCGCGCTGCAGCCGCGCTGCCCTTTCCAAAGCCAGCCGTCTTTCAGGGGCAGGTGAGCACGGCGCGGGAGACGGCTGAAACGCTTTTTGTTGGGGATAGTTCCTGTTATTCTTCTCTAGCCCCTTTCCTAGACCCCTTTCCCCAGGTTCTTAGGAAGGTGTGTGTTAAGACAGACTGAGCATCAAGTTTTCCTGGAAGAAACACCAAAGAAACATTCAATTACAATAAAAATAACAACAGCAATAAATTCCTGTCCTCTGTCCTAGTGAATACACCAGCACTAATAACACATCTTGCTCCGGAGAGCGCTGCCCCTCCGGCACTGCGGTGAGCTCTGGGGGTCCGCGGCGTGGCTGGACAGAGCAGGAGAAGCGTCCCGGCTCGGGGCAGCGTGCACCTCGCGCCCACTGCCCGGTCGGCCGCGGGAACCGGCGGGAGGGGGCGTGCTCTAACGCGGGCCCGCCTCCTCCTCAGGATCCAGGGCGGGCCGAGCTGAGCGCGCAGGGCCCCGGTTAAAGAGGCGCGCGGAGGCGGGCGCCGCGCACACTGCGTGTGGCGCGCGGAGAAGCCGCACACGTGTCTCCCGGAGTCGGGCGCTGAGTTCTCCCTCACGATCCTGACGCCCCGTGGGCCCCTTTGGGTGCTCGCCCGCCCCTGCCCGCGTGAGTGGGATCCCGCCTAGTTCCTCAAGCTCAGTAGCCAAACTTGGCCGAGCCACTCGGTTCCGAGGAGCGGCGCTGTGGTGTGTGTGGGGTGTGTGGGGTGTGTATGTGTTGGAGGGTGGAGGGGTGAGAGAAGGAGCACTGCGCATGCGGAGCTCCAAATTCAAACAGCTGTTCCCTGAGGCCGGAGGGCGGGCGGACCGCGAGCCGCTGGGCTAGGGGAGGTTTTCGCCAGGGGCTGGCTCCTCGGAAGTCATGGTGGACCGGGGCCCTCTGCTCACCTCGGCCATCATCTTCTACCTGGCCATCGGGGCGGCGATCTTCGAAGTGCTGGAGGAGCCGCACTGGAAGGAGGCCAAGAAAAACTACTACACGCAGAAGCTGCATCTGCTCAAGGAGTTCCCGTGCCTGGGTCAGGAGGGCCTGGATAAGATCCTGCAGGTGAGCCGCTGCCTTGGACCCCGACAGGCACCCTGGGACAGCCGCAGCTCCAGACCGTAGGTTCCCACGGTGGGGCTGTGTCGCCCGCCGGGGCCCCTAGGCGCGGAGAGCCCAATTTGTCGGAAGAGAGCGCGCACTTGGGTTTGGCTCCTGGGCGACCTGGGTTTCGCCGTGGCGGGGTGTGGGTGTGCAGGCGGATAAAGGCGTTTATCTTTCCTTGGAGACGCTCCCGGAGTCCTCGGAACGGGGCTGGGTGCCACCCCTCGCGCCTCTGCCTCTGCTCTCCAGGGCTGGTGCTGCGCGCGCCGGCCAGAGCTGTGGGAAGGGTCCTCGGTTCTGAGCCTGGGCAAGGAGAGGGGTGGTAGAAAGGCATGGGGTGAATGCTGAGGGGCTCACTGGCCAATGGCCGGTGGCTGGAATGGCGCGCGGACTTCCGGGAAGGTATACTCCTGTGGGCATCCCTAAAAGCTGAAGTTCAAACTTGATCAACGTGGGAGGCTTGAACGAAACCGGATAGTCCGGAAGGTGTGGATGGGCGACATGGGGGGGGGGGCTTCCTGTGCTTTGACGGAGAGTTTTTTGGGTGCACTAGCCCTGCAGGTGGCCATGACCTCGCAGATCAGTTGGGGGTTGATGGCCTTATCTGGGACCTAGAGAGGAGATCTTTCCAGCTCCGTTTCCTGAAGGCTTAGCATCAGCTCCACCCTTCTCAGTGGATGAAGCCAAAAGGGATGCCTGGTGAAGAGCATTTTATTCACAGCCGCTGGAGTGACCTTCATTTTTTCGGATCCCATCTACAATGTGAGCAGGAACTCTCACTGATTCCTTCCTCTGGCCCCTGGCTGCTGGGAGATATAGCCTGTCACTAGTGGTCCCACCCTTGGGTCCGCAGATACGCAGCCAAGCTGCCTTGCCAGGCCTGTGGAGACTTGTCCTCTAGGGAGGTGGTGGACGGGAAGGTCCAGGCTGTGCAGTTCTGGAGGGCTTGGCCCAGAGAGTCTCCTGCCTGCAGCGGTTCCCCCTGGATATTGGAGACTGCGATGCTGAGAATTAGCATCAAGATATTGGGAAGATTGGGCTGAGAATAGCATGAGTTGGTGATGGGGGGTGGATGCCCCAGCTTCCTTCTGGCATGGCTGGAAGGCGGGGGGGGGGAGGGTCTCTTTATGATTTTCCTGGAGGAAACAATTGCCCTGGAGAACCGGAGCTTTTGTTTGGTTTGCCTCGGACTTTGTTTGGAGCAGCTTAGACTGGGAGTGTGATAAAACCCTTCGCTGCCCCCCAAACACTTCCCTCTTCATTGGCTCCTCCTCCGCCACTGCAGGGGAAGGAAGGAAAGAATTCAAGGCTGGATGTGGGAAAATAAACTTCAAAACACAAGGAGCAGGGAAAGGGGAGGGGGACAGACGTCCAGAGGCTGGGCAGCCGGCTGCAGCTGCTGGTGGTGGTAGTGGTGCTGGTGGTGGTGTCCACGCAGCTTCCTTAAGGTGTTGGAACAAACAAAATGCCTTTTATTCGAGATCCTGCTCAGTCAGTCCACAGCTAATCCCCCAAGGTAGGCAGGTAACTTAGAGAAAGGATATGGGCATTAGGCCAGTCTGATTTAGAGACGATTATAGTAAGTTCTTGAACAACAAGGTCCTGTCCCCATTCCTGGCCAGAAAAAAAAAATACCCCACCCATGTCAAACCAACCCTAACTGGGTAAGTCCCCTCCCTACAGAGGAAAAACCCAAGAAAGGACTGCAGACCAGTGGAAGCTTTCGCTTGCGCCTTTTTTAGTTTGCAGAAATCTGCTCTGGTCTGTGACTCCAGGCACCTCCCTGGGCCTCAGGAAAGTGGTTTAAAGGAAGACAGAAGTGGTCAAAAGTCTTCTTTCCCATTAAGAGGCTGCTTGGGGTTTCCCACCCAAGGGTCCAGGACCCTTACTGTAGCTGGTTCTGGTGAGCACAAAGGAGTCCCTAGCTAGGAATTCCTGAAGTGGGAGCTGGGACTCAGCCAGGGATTTGAGAGGGAAGAGGGTGCGTTCTGGATAGGGGGGATTTATGCTGGAAACCCATACAGCTCTTCAGATGCGTGAGAAAGGGAGTTGACTCCCAGGGTCGTCAGGTGCTTCCTGCCCTACTCAGGCTGTAGTTTGAACTCAGGCTCACATAGGCTGTCTTTTTGGCCTTGGGGACATGTGGTCACCCACTTTCCTGCCTGCAGAACCATTTTGAAGCGAAGCAGAGACTCCCACAGAGGAAGTCCCAGTGAAGCTACGCACCTGCTCTGGTATTCTAGCAGACAGCAGAGGTGACTTGGCCATTTACCCCTGGAGCCAGTGAATAAGGGCTTGGCTTTGGGTGAGGCTCCAGTTTCCATGTCACTGCTAGCCACAGGTGAGCAGTCTGTGGCTAGCCTTGGTTGGGCACTCAGCTGAGCCATGGTATCTCAACCTGTGTCCTTGTCTACTCTTGACAGTGATCACAGAGAAATTCTGTTGTCAACACAGACACTGCATCGCCAGGAGGGAGGGCTCCTGCAGCTTCACCCACCTTTGGCCTCCCTGCTGGGATTGTTGCTGTGTCAGTGAGCTTACTAAGCTGCTCCTCTGGACTCTGCTCTGCTGGAGAATAACATTTTCTATTTCCTCCAGAGCATGCGCTGGCATGCAGGCTTCCGTGATGTTGGCCAGCTCACCTGGCCACTCCTGCAGGACTGTGGCCATGTGACTGTCCCCGGTACACCTCTCCTTGTAGGATTCTCTTTCCTCTCCCCAACCAACTGGAGGAAAGGAATGACAGCTCTTCTGCCTTTGTCTAGCTTGCAGTGTTTATAAGAAAGGGAGGATTAAGAGGCCCCTTGCCCACAGACCACTTGGAAGAAGTGTTCTCTTGCATTCTTAATGGACTCTTGATGACCACCCCTAAAAAAGGGGATTGTGAAAAAGATGATACTGCTCGCCTACAATTTTGTAATGTAGTTAGATTTCACATCTCGGTGTGATACTTTCAAAGTACAGCAGAAGTGAATTGGTAAACCTCTGCTAAGTACTTACTTTCCCCAGGCACTGAACAAGGACATAGAAATACTGGATATTGGGCCCGGGTCAGTCTTGCTGAGATGAAGGATAAATAAACCCTCTTTGGAACAAGATAGAGGACATGGCCTTGATATAGGTGCCCAGGAGGGTCTCTTATTTTCAGATGACACCTTCTGTCTATTTATTGGAAGGACTGAGGGTGAACAAGAGAGAGACTGCGCGATGTGTGTTTCTGTCCAACTGATACCTTCTCCAAGTGCCCCCAGCAGCCCCTGGCCCAGCATGAAACTAGGAGTCCATAAAGCAATTCCAGGTATCCCACGTGGGCAGGGAAGAAGATCCTACCAAAAGGATGGCAAGTTGTCTGTCCTTTATCCTAAGCCCGGGTTTCTTTTTTTTTTTTCTTTTTTAAAGATTTATTTGTTTTTATTGGAAATTCAGATATATGGAGAGGAGAGACAGGAAGATCTGTCTGTTGATCTACTCCCTGAGTGACTGCAACAGCCAGTGCTGCGACCGTCTGGAGCCAGGAGCATCTTCCGGGTCTTCCTTGCAGGTGCAGGGTCCCAAGGCATTGGGCCATCCTCGACTGATTTCCCAGGCCAAAAGCAGGGAGCTGAATGGGAGGTGGGGCCAGCGGGATTAGAACTGGTGCCCATATGGGATCCTGGCGAGTTCAAGCCGGGGACTTTAGCCGCTAGGCCATGGGGCCTGGCCCCCAGGGTTTTTGATGTGGTTCTGGATTTTCCTGTCACCCCAGGGCTCGCCTATGCTCTGGTGCCCCAGATGACGCTTTTGTGCTTTGGGCCACTGATTTAGCTGAGCTAGCCTGAAAGCCTCTTGACTCCCCTGGCCTCCCCCGTAAAGTGCAAGATGAACCCCTTTCATTTCCTGTGTTTTTCACACTATACTGCACGTACTGCTGTTTGTCTACAGTGGCAAGGCATTTCTGACCTCCTGTTAATAACACATGGCCTCCTCCCCAAATTGGCAAAATACAGCCACAAGCCTACGATGACATTACATCCAGCCCAAATGCTTAGAATGGGGCGCATCGAATGATTTGGAGAACTAAGAGTTAATCAGAACATTTTTTTTTCCCCTACCCCAGACACACACCCTCTTTGTGTTAAACTTTGGTGGAAATTGTAAAATGGACTGGTCTCCTTAACTGCCTTTGTGAGCCGAAGGAAACACAATGGACCTTTTGATTATCGGGACTTGGAGGCCTCCTCTGTCCACATCGTTGGTTTGAGCTTCAAATGCAGCGTGGATAAGTTGGGTTCCTGTGAGATAATGGACAGCAGAGGCTCCTTCCTGGTGGCTTCCTTTTCTTGTTTGTGTTAACTGTTCTGGGTAGAGTTTTAATAGTTAAAGTGAGTATTTTAAATTGTTTCTGAGAGCTTTACTAGAACCCTTAACTGTGGTTACAGGTGGCACAATAATGGTGAAGAGAATTGCTGAGGGTGGAAATTTGCACATGTTGAAAGGCACCAGTGAGGGGGGCTCCTTCCAGGAGGGGGTACAAAGGAGGTGATGATTGCTTCTTCTAAGTATTTTCCTGGGGTTTTACCCTATTTATAGTCTGGTGTTTAACAGCAACACAGTCCTCCGGTTTTTGGATGCTGTACTTGGCTGGCCCTGAGCTCAGGCCAGAGGCTTTCATCTCCAACTTGGCTGTTTGCTCTCGGATGGAGTTCAGCCTCTGAACTCGGGAGTGGGGGCTGGCATTGGGGTTGGGAGCAGGGAAGAACAGGCTTTGGGGAACTGGGGAGTCCTCAGGCCCCTAAAGAACCGGGAAGAACTGACTGTCAGGAACTGGGTGATGGTGTGGCCCCTCTGTTTCTATGACTTCCTTTCCAGAGTGGGGAAGGGGACAGGTGGATCTCTTATGGAAGATGTCTCTAAGTGCCCTTGTACTTGGAATAAGATAGAAGGGCCTGGCCTGTGCAGGCTGCCCACAGATGGCAGTGTGGCCAGGGAACAGGCAAGGGTCTCTTCAGGGGCTGCTTCAGGGGCTGCTGTAGCTGGAAGATTGATGATTGGAGCAGTTTGCCTGGTGGTCAAGGGGTGGCCTACTGAGTAGGACTTGCCACATAGCAAGAGCTTAGAGTTAGCTGATACCAGCACTGTCACTAGTGGGACGGGGGTGGGGTTGGTGGTCCATGCACATCAGTATCACAAAGAATCAGGAAGTTCTTCCTAAGGTAAAAGCAAGGTCCACTTGAGGGTGGGGAGGAAAAGAAACCACATAAACACAAAATTTGCCATTGCATCAACTTTTAAGTATGCTGAAGCATATGGTTTAGTAGTGTCAGCTATATATATTCAAATAGCTTTGAAACATATCTCTAGAACTTTTCCCTCTAGCAAAATAAGCTAGACCCATTCAAAGGCTGTCCTTTTGCCTCTCTGCCCCACTCCTGGTAACTAGCTTTGTCGTTTCTGCTTTTATGAACTTGATGACCTCGATGTCTCCTGTGGGATCAATACAGCATTTTTGCCTTTTCTTGTATCAAATGATATAACTACTGTGGAAATACAATGTGGAGATTCCTCACACCATTAAAAATAGAACTACCATGTGCTCCAGCAGTCTCACTTAACACTAAAATTTTTTCAACTTTTTGATTTATTATGCAAAAGGCATCAGAATCAGACTGTTTTTTTTTTTTTTTATTGCAAAGTCAGATGTACAGAAGGGAGGAAAGATCTTCCATCTGATGATTCACTCCCCAATTACTGTAACGGCCGGTGCTGTGCCCATCCGAAGCTAG